TGAAGGATCCTTGGAAGGTAACCTAACACTGTGCCACCTGTTGGGCCCCCAAAACAAGGATGTTTGTGGCAGCTGAATTTAGCCTGCTTGCCATTTACCTTGAAAGTGTGAAATTAAGCTGGGAAAAATGTTAAACATGAGTTCACTGAATTTTAGTACCCCAGGAACAAAGATGTCATTGGTTTGGAAGTAGCTAAGGTAGCCATATTAGCAATGCCAGTTGATAACAACAGATGAGGCTGGGTTTGTCAATTAAAAAACATAATTGAAACATGCCCAGCAATTGAACATTAGACACAATTAAGAAATAAGTGTTAATTAACAGTTTAAAAGAGCAGCTTCCATTACTGTTTATATGCTACATTAAGCAGCTATCCAGGATTTTTCGAGGACAGGAATGATGAGGTGTTACTGACCTGAAGTCTGATTTCAAGTAACGTAACTTGTTAATGTTGGATCTAACATGTAGATCTTTTTAGTGTTGTGTTGAGCGATATTTCATAGCATAATGACCTCTTTGTGAACTAGATGAAGTGCAGTGGCGAGACAAATCTTTGCACCAAATTTCACAACAAGTCATGGACATCGCTTGACAGATTTGGACCAACAGTGGGCCAACAATCTTTCCTAGAAGCAACACGGAAGGCTTTGCTGCAAAGGACTATTTTGATGGCTTCTGTGTCTGAGACATTTGTCTGGGTCTGGAAGTAATAAAGTGTTCTGAAGGAAAGGAAAATAAGATGCAGAATTATAAAGAAGGAAGACCAAAATGCTATCTTGGCCTCTCCCGCAACTTAATTAACCCTCTGCGGTACATTTAACATTAACATCAGAAGTCGAAGCAAAGCTAGGGCAAGAATATTTAACTTCAGAAAGTGCTGTAAAGTACAAATAATCACATTTATTTTACGAAAAGTAATATTTCAATAGTTTGTATGTGAATATCTGAATGGCAAAGTAAAATGAACATTATAGACTCTGTTTTTCTTACAAAAGGGGGAAATGAAACAAAAAGAAAAGCGGAATCTCAGTAGGATTAATGGATCCTGAGTGTGTAGACCTCTGAAGAGTAGGAGATTTGATTCTCTCCTATCCATCCCGACCTCTTTTTATCCCTCAATCCACATTTAAACCTCCCATCATCCCCCAACCCTGCATGTTTCCAGTGCCAAAGTCTGTCATCACTGCTGCATCTCTCCTCTCTTATCGTGCCCTGTGCTCTTCTCAAGAAAAATATTGATTAGAAGAGGATGAGATGACTGACTGCTCTATGGTGGAGATTCAATCAGCCCACTGTTATCCTGAACTTTGTTGTATATTTATATCTCTGAAGATTATGGATTGAGGTAGAAGCAGAGAGCAGGCAGAAAAAGAGCGGGCAGAGAAAGAAAAAGTAACTGCTGGTGTTCTCTGACATTTATTGACAAAACTGTCTCGCTCTCTGTCTATATGCTCTGCAATGTTAAGATTAAGATAGCCTTGTACTTTAGACTAAGTCGAGACAAATTGGAGCTTGATAGTTTTTGTATGTATTTAAACAGTAACAGCGGCCAAATCTCTTTCTTTTCAACCCTTATACACACGGAGAGAAGAAACGCTGAAAGACACTTTTTATGTTGTCAACTATCTCTCATATGTGATGGATGGTCATTGATACCTTCAGGAATTCCAAAAGCCCAGAGAAAAGAAATGTATTGCTTTCCTGTTCTTACAGCAGCCCCTAGTGGCTGTTGGAGATATCACTCATTGCCTATTCTTCAATCGCATCTGGATGCATGCTGTTGCATTGTGGCAACTTGGTGCTAGTTCAACATGCATGTGCGCCACATATGGATTGAGATCATTTTTCAAAAATAATGTGAAACATTAGATAAATGCAACAGCAACACAAAATGGAATCCATGTAAGTTTTACGACATGGGTCAAGGAAACATGATCATTTGGGGTACTTAGGGGCAGTACACCTTAAATTAAAACAAACAGTTTCTCACTTATCATCAGTGGTATCCACATATTTCTGGTATGATTTTATCAGGTTTTGATATACTAGATGGGAATATTTGTAATGCTAATTGCATGATAAATAAGGTGAATGCAACCCAGCTAATCTTGTTTAGAGCACGTAAGATTAACAGTTTAAACACCAAATGACTTTCCAGAAACAGAGTCCAGGTCAAATGTTGAGCAATTCTGTGAATCATCTGCGTTGGAATTTATCTAAAACATTGCAAAGTTAATGTTCCACAGATCTCTTTTTCAGTGTTTTACATGTTCTTGTACTCCTCATTTAAATTCTTAAACTGAATGCACTTTTTTATTTAAACATAGCTCAAGTCTCTTTATGTTTGTATAAGGCGAGTTATTTATTTATTTTGTGTTAGCAAACTAGTCCAGAGAAATGCATTTTCATTCCACTGTTTGTATGTTAGACATGGAATTACAATAAAATAAACTTGCTTGCACTATAATCCTGAGACTTCAATTGATGCCATCTGTGTTATCTGTGTGTGTATGAGAGTCCTCAACTTGTTTCTACACATGTGGTGTAAAAAAAAAAGTTTGCATTTGACATTTTAGACTCCGTTTGGGATAATAAACCGGATTGGTTTCCTTATACAGGATATTGTAGGATTAAAAAATAAAAAAATGTGCCTCCAAATGAAGCATAGAATAGCATTAGCAAACATAACATTGCTTAATTGCATTACTGTTATTAGCATGCAATGCTAGTAGTTAGTGAGAAATGTAAAACAATTTGCATTACGGGGTATTTACTTGAACAAAGTCTGCAAAGTTTTCACTTAATTACAGTGAGTGTAGAGTGATCTAAAGGTCAATCAAAGTGCACTCAAACACTCAGTGATTTCCCAGAGCGACATTGTAAAGAAGCAGATATTTAAAATGACAAAATAGCCACAATCCCTCTAAAAACTATTGACAATGTTTAATGTACCGTAAATAACTCAGAGAAATAAGACTTTCTCCTGAAAATAGACACTTAACATTCTCAAAGTTTTAAATGAAAAGATTTAACAATGAAAAAAAATGTTTACTATCTTTTTTTATCTCACGTAAAAATATTCCCAAACCAAAACCACCTGCATGATAAATATAGAAATACTAGATATAAAATTGCTTCATTTGACATTTTTCGGTAACTGCACCTTTAAAAGACCTCCTCTAATAACGATTTCCCTCCTGAGGACACTAGAGGGCAGCCCATGCTCATGTATTAACAGTGCTGTCCCGGCCTCTGACATCTCACAGGGCTGTCTGCTGCCTGCAGCTCCTCATTCAAACTGAATTATACTGTGAAATAGGATTACGTGTCAAGCAATGCAATGATTGAGCACAATTGTTGGAGTTTGGCAGGAGCGCAGAATAAAAAGGAAATACACAAACACGGATTCATATTTGTCACACTGATGTGACTTGTCTGTGAAATGACATTAAGATAAGTCGATCCTGGATGTCAAATGATGGGTATCTTAGCATCCACACCGCCTTATTTTTTATTTTTTTCAAGTGAGTAAAAAATAGCAGTCGCTTGCTTTTGCTGGTCCCCAGAGAGCAAACAGACTGAGTTAGGGCCCTGTAATTATGTGCAAGAGTGAGTGTGTGTGTGTGTGTGTGTGTGTGTGTGTATGAACGTGCTGCGTTTTAAAAGGCGTTTTGTTATGGTTGCTGTTTTTCTTCAGATTGTGGGCCGGGGAGCGGATCTCCCTTTATGAGTTTGCTGTTTCCTCTCCCAAAGAGCTCCCTCATACCCTGGGCAACTGAACAGGCTGGCTGGAATTATACAACGGCAAGTTTGGAGTCTGAAATAATCTAAAAAAAAAAAAAATTGAAAGCAAGAGAGAGGGAGAGAGACATCAGGCAACCTTCTAAGTCGATGAGCTCATTCCCATCTTTCATCAGCATCTACTGCATGATAATGAGCAGGGAATACATGTGGCCACAGTCTGAGGGGAAGAAAAGACTTCCCTGCACCCAAACTCTTTCATGTCTGAGTCACACAGGATCAACAGCCCCCTCCCCCCCCCCCCCCTCTCCTTTGGTGACCCCTCAGAGGCCCTGACCCTTTCACCTCCAGAGGTCAGATCCCTCAGCGTTACTCCTGTTCAACCAATTAACCCTCGAACTCAGATCAATTAACCCTTTTCCACCGGCAGCAATCAGATAACAGCAACACGCTTTATTAGCAGGTGCAGAAAAAGCAGCAGATCAAGAGGGTTTGAAATGGGGTTGATCCAAAGACAAAATCGCTGTGATAGAAAAGGTGCTGACCTGGTGACGGAGCGATAAAGATGTTAGTTAGAAGGAGAGCGGAGAGTGGAAAGAAAGTAGGGGGAAAAGCCCATCTATGAAGCTAATTAAGCAGAAATGGAGCCTTTGGGAGCCGGGGAAGCCTGCATAGCGATATCTTGCATTTCAGTCCATTAACCTGCTCCTGATGAACTGTGTGTTATTGGGGGGAAAGTCTTTATTAATCACACCCCGCTGAGGAGACGGTCAGCTCACAGCATCCATCGATTCCCCTCACTAGCTGGACAAACAGTGGGATTGTATTAGCCTTCAGGAGGATCAGGATTCCTTAGTACGACATGGGAGCTGCTGTTTGTTGTGACAGTTATGATGGGAAAACGGACTCCGTCTTTTCCACCCACAAGTGACGAATCTATGTAAGGCTTGGTGATGAGAAATGCTATGAGTGGATTGGTTAAAAACGTGTCATAAATATAGGCAAGGGATTGGAAAAAAGAACAAGAGACAGGTAAAGGTAGAATATGTGTGGTGGTATTGTGTGTGTCCTTTAATTGCTCTTAATTTTCAGCAAGAGTTAAGTGGGAAAGTATTGAAAGTGAGAAAGCAAGAGGTACAGGATAGATAGAGAGAGATACTGTAGGGATAAGGGAGGTGGGGGGGGGGGAGAGAGGGAGAAAAGGGGAGAGAGAAAAAGAGAGGCTCACACACGCAGGAGGAGAGAGGGAGTAGAAACTGTTAAAAACGTGTGTGTTCGCTCTTGCCAGTCTCAGCATCGCTCAGTTTGTGCAGGAGGCTGCAGCTCAGGATCTCCACTCCAGATATGATCTTCACACTTCTCAGTCGTTTCTCTCCAAGCTGGGATCCCTTCATTTGTTTGCTTGGATGTTAACAGTCTGCTGCGTATTGATGGATTTCTCATGCCACAACTAATCTGACTCAAACCCGGGATCGGTTCAAGAACAGCTAAAAAAAAAAGAAAAAAGAAAAGGGGTTGCCCAGGTAGTTTTAAGGTTTTTGGAAGCTGCAGCTCATCCTGTGTTGGACATGGGACCGTGCGTCAGCAGAGAGGGATCCGGTGTCGGAGGGAGAGCATCTTCCTGAAGGAGGAGAAGCCCGTGTGCAGGAGTTTTTTTTTTTTTTTTTTTTTTTGTTATAGTATTGCTTTTTGCTACCGGGGAGGTGGAGCTGAGGGTTTTTACGCGCCGGAATGATGCGTCCCAATCGCGGCTTCATCCTGCTCCTCCTCAACGGAACCGCTTGTTTGGTAAGAAACGAGTAAAGTCACACTGCTAACTGCATGCATCTTGTTCCAAAATTATCATTTTCGTCATCCATGCAACACCTTTTACCTGCGCGACCGGGAATGACACGGTGCCCGCAACCCATTAATACCCAAAACTTCTAAACTCGCAGATTTGAAGTATACGTAACTGTGCTTATAAACATGCAGAAATAAACACCGACAGCTGCAATGATGCAGGTGAAATGATGAATGAAGACACATGCAGGTCGTTGGTGTTTCTCTCAGAGATGCAGAGATATTTCGTGTCTGCAGTGCTGTTCCACTACTTGTTTTCTTTTTTGCAAACTTCTGTTTTATTTCAGCCATAATTAAGAATAATGAAGTCAATAACATTCACTTTGACCCTAATCGGCTCAGGTACGGCAAGTTGTACTGTCACTATTCCCTGCGGACACTCGAGCTGGCAGCGTGTGTATCGCACGGTGCCGCCGCTGTCCGTCATCAGTGTATCCTGAGCTTTGCGCATTTGTATCCACATCAGTGATTTCACTTATTATTCATCCTACTTATTGTGCCCATGAAAAGTATGTAACTGCATGTTAAAGTTTTCTCCTAAATGATTACATAAGAAAATGCAAAATGAATGACAGTAGAGGTTAGGGCAGCCATCCGCTTTTAGGCACAAAAAAAAAGATGACAAGAGGCAAAACAAACAATGCAGAAATATTTTAGAAAAAGAATGCCAGAGCTTCGGTTTGATTTGTATTCAGTGAATCAAGTTTATTTCATCTCGTGTCAGGGTACATGACTGTCGGCTATACAGCATCAGCCCACACATCTGGCTCAAAAAAACTAAGACTCAATATTCCATCAGCTTTTTTTTTTTTTGATTACATTTAAGATAGAGGATTTATCATGTCAAACATCTACAGAAAGATAGAGCTTTTCTTCTTTGGTGAAGTCTGAGGACTCTCCCCTTTGGAGTCAAATTTGATCAAATACAGAATTCATACTGTGGTGAAGTAACCTTGAAGTAAGTGACGCCTCAGACCAGAATATCTATAGATAAGAATATCTAGAGGTAAAAAAAAAAAAAAAAAACAGTTTAAATAAAAAAGTCAACTAGCTAAATCTTAACCCCTTCCTCAGGCCCTTCACTGACTTATAACACCAGATGTTGAGCTGTTTCTGTAGTCTTAATGAATACTTCCCACCGTTATGTAACCTTACAATCAAATTTGGATCAGCAGCTCCTCTTTCATGTTTGCCTGCAGTTTTATTAAAAAGCAGCCTTTAATGAGAAATCCGCTCTTGATTCACAGGAGAGAAAAACTGGAACATCCGTCTGCTCGGAAAGCCCCGGGCTGAGTAGCACAGGGGCCCAGCTCCAAAAAAAAAAAGAAAGAATAAAAAGTACAGTCAGAGGAAATGTTAAAGTGAAGTTGTGTGCTTGTTTGATGCACCCCCGATTGTGTCTGGGTCCCTTCAAGGACGACCTTGTGCTTTTCATATTAAGGTATTATTGAGGTGCTCAGGGTAAAGTAATGGCCCATTGGAGAGTGAAAGACTAAACACACACAGATTTATTTGACTGAGACGGAGCTCATTCAACAGATCTGCAAGGGAAGAAGAGACCACACGCTGATTTAAAATATGGGGGGATGAGCGCCTTTTCAGCCGTTGTATAACTAGATACAAGAGTGTGGGATAATAGGCTTAACACGCACTCTTGTGTTGTCTGGGAGCATTTTTATGTGCTGCAGGGCTGCTGGCTGCTGTAACACTGAAGGTCTGTGCCTAATGATAGTGAAATTAATTGGGTTTTTTTCTCCCTCTGCAGACCATGTATCTCTAAAAAAAAAGCGTACATGACGTCCCTCAGCAGGAGATTCTGGGTAATTCATTAGCCCCGTGACATTGATAAATTATACAGCAATTAATAAATGGAGTAACTTTTTTATTATGGAACAGAGCCGTGATTAATAATCACATAAACTGACTATGCATTAAAATCCAATCTGGATTATTTAGGTTGTAATGGAGGCCGCAGGTCTCGAGGGGCCTTTCCCCAACGACTCCTCATACAGTCAACTGTTAGCACAGGGTGCCGCTCTGCCTGCTGTATGGGTGATGAATGATCTGTTTCAGATGTTAATTATTCTGATTCCAATGGAGGCTTATGAATAATATAAACCATCTCAATTGTATAATTGACTGCTTGAGAAGTTATGTTTTGGAGTTATTTTTCATCTCTGCGAGCTGGATTTGTTTCAGTGAGCCAAGTCGCTGATATGAAGTGAATCATTTCTGGAGTATTTAAGAGGAACCTTTGACTCAAACTGGGCTTTCGGTTAAGATTCAGTTGTTGGTAAAGATGGGAAAAGGGTTTTTGGGCAATTTATGCATGAAAAGGTTTTGATTATTTACATTATTGCTGATTATTTTTCCTTACTTTCCTTACGATCGATTAAGCGATATGTGTAAAACACGTCTTCATAAGGCCATCAGTAACAGACACAAGCTAAACTGAGCTCGCACTAAATGCAGAGGAGAGACAGGTGCCTTTATGAGATAAGTTCACACGCTGAAAACAGACAGAGCAGGTGCAGAGAGGTGTGAAGGCAAAGCAAATGTGAGTCAGTGAGTGAGGTAAAGATGAAGCTGATATAGAGCAAAAAAAAAGAAAAGAAAAGTTAAACATCTGCCTCATTGACAGTCATGACACATTCTTTCTCCCTTCTGCTCAAAAACATCCAAGAAAATACGCCTAATCCACACATAATTACAACTGCAGTATGGCACAAGATTGACAATCTGAATCCTAAAGAGCAGCCGGTGAATTCTTGCAGGAATGAGGTGAACAAAATGTTTAATAATCGGAATAACTATTAAATGAAGAATGAAGTGACCCTGAACAGGGCACTGAACTAGTCTGCACTCCCCCCACCCTTCAATTACTCTGAATCACCCCACTTTACCTCGGAGTAAATGTTTGCACTTCATCAACATGTCTGGATAAAGTGTTATTTCCTATTTCTCAAAGAAGAGTGCACAAGGAGGTGTTAATGTTTGCACAAAATACACATTCTTTACACTTTCCGACAAAAGTGCATCTTTTTTTTCTATGTGTGTGTGCAGTTTTATGGCCTTGCTTCTCCTGTAACCTTCATGTGGAGCCCGGTCCTCCATGCACACTCACAGCTGCTCTTTCACTACAGAATGTTTTAGAAATGACGAGCTTCAGGTAGCCTCCGTGTGGCCGTGAGCGACGCGCAGGCTTTATGCTGCCTGTGATTGTTTTTGGTACAGATGCAGACATGGTCATCATGCTTGCACCTCTGCTGCTCTACCTTTTTTTTTTTTTGCAGATTACATTCCTGGAAACTAATCAAACATATTCTTAGGTTTATGCTCTACTCTCTCTATGCTCTTCTCTCTGAATGTAGGTAATGTTAAAAATAAAGAAAACACAAAGCTTGTGCAAATCAGCATCGAAACACTTATTCAACTTTTACTGCCATACTTCATTTGACTTTGCTGTCAGCACGGAAAGTCATTTGTTTAAGCACAGCATGTCAATTAAAAACAAAAGAATACTCTGTGATGAGGCTGCACAGAAAGCACAACAGTGATGGATCATAACAGCACTACAACAACAACTGAGATTTAAAAAGGCAGGTAAATCTCAACAAAACTACACAACAACACAAAACTGCAAGTTTAATAAAAAGAGGTCATTCCAACCACATCAGACTCCTCTCTATTTTTTTTGGCCTGCCACAATCTCTCACATTCATGTTTCTTAGATACCTGTCCTCCTCGCAGGGTCGCTGACCTTGTCCACCAAGATTCATCCCCCAGCTGAGCAGAGATACCACCTTAAATCCTGAGAAAACAAATAGAGAAAACCTTCCCCGTCTCATACGGCACATATTGCACGCAGACGCAAATGTGATACAGCAGCCGCCGAGTGAATACTAATTTTTTTTCTTCTTTTTTGCCGTTCTCACTCTCTAGAGTCTTCCTCTCTCCCATCATCGTTGCAATCGGCCTGTCAGAGCTCATAAGCTTCTCGTCTCCTCCTTACGGCCCACACACCCACACACACACACACACACACACACACACACACACACACACACACACACACACACACACACACACACACACACACACACACACACACACACACACACACACACACACACACACACACACACAACGCAGGAAACTCAAAAGTCATTCATAAACGTGGAATTTCAATCAAAGAGAACAGATACAAAAGCAAAGGAATGGTTTATTGTGAGGGTGACTTCTGTCTCCCTGTGAGTTTAGAAAGGATCATAACGCCCCCCCTCCCCTCATCAGGTTGTGGCTTCTTCTTGATCAGATGCAGAATAACACACACTTTATTGCTTGTTTGATTAACATAAAACACCAGACTAAATGAACTGATTTATATCTTAATAACATTTTTAAAACTGTCATTCAATTGTAAGAAAACTCATTTCATTTTATTTGGCAATCCGAGAGTATAATTGTTCTGATGGAATGAGTGCAAGACAAGGGATGTGATTTGTTGTAGTAATTCGATGTAACAAGTTGTCTTGATTTTGTCTTAAATTGGTGATATATGCAGACTTAATGCAATTTAGCTTGGATGAGAAAACAAAAACGTGATCCTTCTCCCATCATTTTGTTGACAGAAGCCCTGTTGAGGCCCATTTAACCAATAACGCTTGTTAAATGGATCACATGACAATAAAGTATCTTCTGTGTTTAAGAGCAGCAATAATTGATTGATTTCACTTAAAGTTGATCCACAGAACATTTGAGTAAAGCATAATGTTAAGTTAATACTCGTGTCAAAAATGTCAGATTAAGAATCCAGAAGTCTTTGTCAACTTTTGAGAACATCTTCCCAGAGAGTTAAAAAAACAACAACTTATAAGCATGCTTGTACACTTTATATCAGATCTAAATATATGCGTAGTAGTACAACTCATTGCATATGATACTTC